GCATTGCCTTAGTCAGATTAGCGTTGTATATGAGTTTCATAAATCGAAATTTGCTGGTGTTGTTTGCCTGCCAGATCGTGTTTGTGTCTGGTTCAATCCTGCTGGTGACTGTCGGAGGCATTGTCGGCCATACGCTCGCCTCAGACCCTTCGTTGGCAACGCTGCCTGTTGCGCTTATGGTTGTAGGTACAGCTGTCTCTACTATTCCGGCAGCCTTTACGATGCAGCGTCTTGGCCGTAAGTGGGGCTTTATCGTCGCAACGCTTATTGCGGCAAGTGGCGCCTGGGTTGCGACAATGGCGCTTGAAGCCAATAACTTCAGTCTGTTCTGTTTTGCAACGGCGTTGGTGGGTAGCAGCCTGGGTTTTAGCCAACAATTTCGATTTGCCGCCGCCGAGAGCGTGACACCAGACAAGGTCAGTCACGCGGTGTCCTTTATTCTGTTAGGTTCAATCTGCGGAGCTTTCCTGGGGCCAGAACTGGTAAGCCTTTCGGCTACGCGCAATCCTGAGGCGCCGTACGGCTTTGGTTTTTATGGTCTCATCGCTTTGTACCTGACCAGCGGGATGATGTTGTTGGCACTGAAGCCTCAGGCATCTCAGACAGAGCATGATGTATCCATTGATGAGGCACCGCGTCCAATATTGCGGATGCTGCTTGCCCCTGTGTTATTCACCGCGGTGCTGGCTGGCGTAGTAGGTCAGGGTGTTATGACTTATGTCATGACGGCAACGCCTCTGAGTATGACGGTGGGTACCGGGTACTCGCTGCAGGAAGCTTCTGATGTGATTCGTGCGCACGTGATTGCCATGTATCTGCCTTCTCTGATTACGCCCTGGTTGATATCCACACTCGGCCTGTCTCGTGTGATGGCGCTGGGTACAATCACGTTGGCAGCCACGTTAGGCATTGGCCTTGCGGGCCATCACCTTATGCATTACTGGTTTTCTATGGTGATGCTGGGGATCGGCTGGAATTTTCTATTTGTCGGCGGTACAACTCAATTGGTGCAGAGCTATCGTCCAGCAGAACGCTTTCGCGCTCAGGCGCTGAATGATTTCAGCGTCTTCAGTGCGTCAGCGGCGGCCTCGTTACTGGCTGGCGTTGTGCTCTATTATTTCGGCTGGTCGGTGCTGCTGATCAGCACCGCACCGGCTCTGTTGTTGATGTTTGCGACACTTGCGTGGGCCAGGATCAGACAGAAGTCGTCGGTCACTTCTTGAGCGCTTTGGCAAAAGCATCTGCCATGGCGCCCTGGGGCTTGTTTGTTTGCGGCGCTTGGCCTTTGCGTCGCTCGCGACGCTGATTGTTGTCGGGCTTGCGCGAAGCTGAAGTATTTGAACCTTGTTCCCGTGCAGCTGGTTTGTCCGCGGCATCACTCAGGCGCATTGTCAGGCTGATCCGTTTGCGTGGCACATCAACTTCCATGACCTTTACGCGTACAACATCGCCGGCTTTGACAACTTCGTGAGGGTCTTTCACAAACTTGTCTGCCAGGGCTGAGATGTGCACTAATCCATCCTGGTGAACGCCGATGTCAACAAAGGCGCCGAAGTTGGTCACATTGGTGACAACGCCTTCGAGCACCATGTCGGCGGCAAGATCTTTTAACTCGTTGACACCTTCTTTGAATGTCGCGGTTTTGAATTGCGGTCGTGGATCCCGTCCGGGCTTCTCCAGTTCACCAATGATGTCTTGAATGGTTGGCAGGCCAAATTTGTCATCCGTGTATTTCTGCGGATCAATTTGTTTGAGTAGATCAGGGCTGCGCATGGCTTGATCGATGGGGGTTCCCAGATCCTGCAGGATGCGTTCAACAACCGGATAAGCTTCCGGATGTACAGCGGAGGCATCCAGTGGATTATCGCCGTTAGCAATGCGCAAAAATCCTGCAGCCTGCTCAAAAGCTTTTGGACCCAGCCGCGGTACATTGAGCAGTTCTTCGCGTCGTTTGAATACACCCTGCTTGTCCCGCAAGGCAACCACGTTGTCCGCCAGAGACGAACTCAAACCCGCAATGCGGGACAACAGTGGCGCGGACGCGGTATTCACATCCACACCCACCCGGTTGACACAGTCTTCTACAACGCTATCCAGTGCGCGCGACAGATAAGTCTGGCTGACATCGTGCTGGTATTGGCCAACGCCAATGGCTTTAGGCTCGATTTTGACGAGTTCTGCCAATGGATCCTGCAATCGTCTGGCAATAGAGACCGCACCACGCAGGCTCACATCCAGTTCAGGGAACTCGCGCGCGGCAAATTCTGAAGCAGAGTAGACCGAAGCGCCGGCTTCAGACACGACCACCGGCACCAGTCCTAATTCTGGCTGGTCCTGCTTGAGCTGGTTGACCAGCTGTTCCGTCTCCCGGGAGCCGGTGCCGTTACCAATCGCCACGAGGTCAACGGCATATTTTTCAGCCAACCTGTGCAGAGTGGCAATGCTGCCTTTCACATCATGCTTTGGTGCAAACGGGTAAATGGTTGCGGTATCCAGGAGCTTGCCGGTGCCATCTACAACTGCCACCTTCACGCCGGTGCGTATACCCGGATCAAGGCCGAGGGTGGCGCGGTTGCCCGCAGGTGCCGCCAACAATAAATCTTCGAGGTTCTGCGCAAAAACCCGGATCGCTTCCTGTTCAGCTGTTTGCCGTAATTCGCCAAACAGGGTCGCTTCAATAGAGAACGACAATTTGGCTCGCCAGGTCATGCGCACCGCACTGGCAATCCAGGCATCTGCCGCACGCCCCTCATCGCGTAAACCAAAATGCCCGGCGATACGTCGCTCGCAAGGGCCATGTTCAGCACTCCAGCCTGTGGCTTCAAGTTCTTCGGGCAGTTTTATAGACAGACGCAGAATTGTCGCCGTGCGACCGCGAAATAAGGCAAGCGCTCTGTGCGGAGGGACCTTGGCGATGGCTTCAGAATATTCAAAATAGTCGCGAAACTTCGCACCCTCGGCTTCTTTGTCTGCAACCACTTCAGAGACAAGGATGCCCTGGTGCCAGAGCATATCGCGCAGATCTGTCAGCAGGTCTGCGTCCTGGCTGAAGCGGGCGGTGAGAATTGCGCTGGCGCCATCCAGGGCGGCTTTGGCATCTGCGACCCCTGGATTGTCACCCGCATCAGTTGTAAAAGGTTCGCAGAGGTACTTTGCGGCGCACGCTTCGGGCACTTGAGTTGGATCGGCAAGCAATTCATCTGCCAGGACTTCAAGGCCAGCTTCTTTTGCAATCTCAGCCTGGGTCCTGCGTTTCACTTTGTAGGGCAGATAAAGATCTTCCAGACGCTGCTTGGTTTCTGCCAACGCGACTTTCTTGCGCAACGCGTCATCCAGCTTGCCAAGCCCATCGATTTCTTTAGCAATCGACAACCGGCGCTCTTCAAGCTCGCGCAGATAGCCCAGTCGTTCGTCCAGGTGACGCAGTTGGGTATCATCCAGTCCGCCTGTGGCTTCTTTGCGATAGCGGGCGATGAAAGGCACCGTTGCGCCTTCGTCAATCAAAGTGACAGCCGCATCGATCTGATTTGATCTTACGGAGAGTTCATTAGCGATACGTTGGGCAATGGAAGGCAGCAGCGAGGGCAGCAAAGCGGTATTCAAGTTGAGTCAGTCCAGGTTGAGCAAGTCGCGCATGATCGCGGGGTCGGCATGATACCGATCATTGCCTCAGGCGGACATCAATATTGGCAGTTAGCGCTGCGTTGGTTGTCCTGCTGCTGGAATTTGTACCGTCTAACCGGCGAGCGCCTGGTCGGTTTCTGGCTGATGATGGTCGTCGTTTCTCTGTGCAACGATCTCCCAGTGCGACTTGCCCAGTTTGCGTTTGTAACGCCACGCTGCAAAGCGACTGCTGAAAACCAACGGCTGTTGGTCATATCGTACAACCAGTGTGCGTCGTTTTGATGATCTCAACATGTAGGTTGTCAAAATATCCACTCAATTAAATCCTTTGAATAAAGGTAACAGCACCAGGGCTCGTGCTTGTGAAGGCTCGTTGTGGTTTTGTGAGGATTTTGTACCTCAGACCCTTTACGCGTCATGCAGATACCAGCGCGTGCCGCAGATATCGACCCGATCATCGCTGATGTAGCAGTTGCGCTTTTTGGCTTCATTGAGAATATGAGATCGGTCTTTAACGCTGATATCGAGACCGCCAAGGCCTGGTCCGCGCCCGTCCTGCGCCTCCACAAAGCGCACTTGCGCATTGTTTAACGTCATTGATAGTTCGGCGCCGTCACGATGGACCGGGCATCCTGCCACCGTGCTCCAGAGTTCGGCAAGCTCAACCGGGTCGCTGCCCTGTAGTTCAACACCCACAAAATCGACCGTCACATCCTGTTTGACTTTGTCTTCCCAGCCGAATCCACCAACGGGTTTCCAATGCCCTTCGAAATCTTCATGGGCATCATATTCCAGTTCGAAAAACGCCGCTTTCAAGTCGCCCGGATGTAGCTGGCACAGGTTCCAGCCGTCCCGCTGCGACTCATGCGCCACACGTATGCCGTTGTCTAATGCGCGTTGGCGAATGGTCTGCTGATTTTCAAAGGTGTCGATCTGGGTGATGACCATATAACCGCCATCGCCGTTGCGGCGATCAAGGTAGCGACCGGCGGCGGTGTTGTCCTGCACAGGTGCCACAACTTCGAGGAAGTTCCGACCCAGCGGCATCAACGTATTTTCCAACCCGAACACACCGACACCTGGATCGACGTAACAGCGATTGATGCCCAGGATGGCGGTCAAGTCTTCGATCACCGGTTCAAGTTTGCGGGCCACCAGGCAGATCTGTCTTAGTTGGATGGTCATAGACTTTGTCTCCGAAAATAAGCGTGTGTGTTCTGCGCGTTCGTGCAATCTTTTCAGGCTTTGCATACCATTGCGTGCAAATTATGCACTGAAAGTTACTAGGAAAAATTCCCCCATGGGTGATGTTTTGTTGCGGATCCTGTCTTACGGCGGGTTGCTGTGTTTTTTGTGTCTGTATCACCCAGCCGTTCATGCCGCGGGAGAGGTGACCGAGATTCAGTTAGATAACGTACCAAAAGGTACTGTGGCCCTGGGTTTTGGTCGCCGGTTTGGAGATACACCCTACAAAGGGGTGTCGAATGTTTCCAGTCAGGATAATGAAAATTCCAGCGATCTGGTGCCGCTGTACTATTACGAAGGGGAGTATCTTTTTGCCCACGGTACGTCCTTTGGCGTACACCTTTTAGACAGCGATCACTTCAAGATTGATCTGGTGTCGCGTTATCGATTTGATCGAATCGAGGATTCCGACGATCCCTTTTTTGAAGGCGTAAACGAGCGGCGCCAATCCCTGGATTCGGGTCTATCGGTCACCTGGAAAACACAATGGGGTGAGTTGTCGACGTCTGCGGTACACGATTCGCTTGACCGTCATGGTGGGTCTGAGGTTGAAGTGACCTATCGATATCCCTGGCGTAACAACAAATGGCTGGTGACACCTTTCATCAGCTATGTTTACCAGGACAGCACCCTCGCTGACTACTATTACGGTGTGTCTGCAGAGGAGGCGAGACCTGACCGGCCAGCCTATGAAGCGTCAAGTGCCAGGTCCGTGCGGCTCGGCGTGGGTACAACGTATAAGGTCAACAAGCGGTTTGTCGTCTTTGCAAATGCTGCACATGAGACGTTGGACAGCACCGTCAAAGACAGCCCTCTGGTAGATGAGGATTCCCTGACGTCGGCTTACCTCGGCTTTGCGTATCAGTTTGGTAATACTCTCAACGAGAATCAATTTACCGGCGATAAGGCGCGCTTTGGCGAGTGGTCCTGGCGAATTAACTATGGCTACACCGCAGAAAAAACGTTTCTCAAGCTGCACAACGGTGCCGTCGAAAAGCACGATGATATTGATACAGACCTTGCCGGTCTCACCTTCGGTAAGTTGCTTAGAGACGGCAGAAAGGTTGAAATGTGGGGCAAGTTCTCGGTCAATCGGCGACTTGAAAACGATTTGCAGGATGACTTCTGGGAATACAATACCTACGTGATGGCGATGGGTACCGGTTATTCTCCATGGACAGACCGAGAGCTTTTTCGCTGGGGATTTGGGTTCGGGTTTTCCTACGCGGACAAAATTCCAGCGGTAGAAGTATTCAAACAGAAAGGCAAGTCGGCCTCTCGATTCCTTAATTATATGGAAGCTCAGTTTGATGTACCGCTGCGCAACTTTTTTGAATCGAAAGCGCTGAGCAATTGTTACGCAGGTGTAACGCTGGTGCATCGATCCGGTATTTTTGCCAGTTCAGACATTCTTAACAATGTGTCCGGTGGGTCGGACGTGCTCACTGGCCATGTGGAGTGCAAACGATGATTAAGAATGTCTTTTACATCAAAGCGACGCTTGGTTTTTTCCTGCTCGTCGGTTGCAGCAGCCAACCGCTTAACAAAGAGACCTTGTCTGAACAGGCCTATCTGGGTGCGGCAAATGCTGCCCGACACTTCCAGAATGATGAGCACCTGCAAACGTATTTCGAAGAAGCTGTGGCCTACGCGATGTTTCCCCGGGTCTATCGCGCCGGCGCAGGTTATGGCGCGGCGTATGGACATGGTTGGGTTTTCCGCAAGCAAGGTGCGCCTATCGGCAAGACCAGAGTCTGGCAGTTCAGTGCCGGGCCGCACATGGGTGCCCAGTTCTATGAACAGATTATTTTCTTTAAAACAGAAGAGGCGTTGGCTCTTTTTCAGGCCGGCACGCTTGAATTTGCAGGGCAGGCCAATGCAACTGTTGGGGTGGCCAATGTGTCAGCCACTCCGGCTTATAACGAAGGGGTTGCGATTTTTACTAACATTGGTGGTGGGTTGATGTTAGAAGGCAGTATCGGTGGACACTTGTACAACTATCGCGCGGTGCAGTAGCGCCGGTGCGATATTCGTCCAGCCTTTAACGCGGCATGGTGTCCATCCATGCGCCACATGCGTCTCACGTCGCGCTCAGGCTGCTTCTACGAGCGCGATTTTCGATATTTCAACTTGGCGTAGCGCTTTGAGCTCATCTATCAAAGGTTCTGACGCCTCCTCTTGGACGTCGACCAGTACCAGTGTTTTACCGTTTTCGATGGCAGCCTGGAAATCTTCGAGCTTGGAGTTGGGCATCCTGATGCCGATCAGAGAGCTGGTCCATGCGCCAAGTGCGGCTCCGCCTGCTGCAAAAGCGGCGATAGCGCCACCACCTATGGCGATGCCAGCTGGTGGAAGGGTCACCATTAACAGGCCGCCGAAGAGTCCCAAAGCGCCACCTACGCCAGCGCCCTGCTTCAGCGTGGGCAGGAGGTCGGAGTATTGGCGTGGGTCTGCTTCCGGCAGGTCTTCAAGAATGATGTCATGTTTGGTAACAACGTAGATATCGTCATCAGAATGGCCTTTGGCGCGCAAAGCATTTACCACGGCCCCTGCGTCGTCAAGGTCGTTATTCAGAATTGCAAGTCGTTGGCTCATCTTTAGGCTCCTTCGATTCTTTACCTGCCCGATTCATTGGGCAGGTTTTGAAGAAAAGGCTAAAAGACAGATCGTGAATTCATTGTGAAAAAATGCGGAAGAGATTTGCCGATCTGCCGTGGAGCTACTTCTTCTGCGGCTATATAAATGCGTTAGATTCAAAAGGGGTGAGTGTTTTTATCTAACGGTACATATTTGTTGGAGGTAAAGTTGCCAGCAGGTAACTTTGTGTAGCTTCTTGTTAACCGCTTGGGTGTCGTTTAAAACGGGTGGCCAAAGCGCAGGTATGCGCCGCTGTTGCCTTCTTTGCCCACCGCATAATCCAACCGCACGACCATCTTTTCTTTTGGTTTTACGGTGTAGACGATGCCGCCACCGGCAGCTGGGTACCAGGCGCTGCTGTCGCCACAATCGCTAAAGCCATCAAACAGGCATGCCGCACCCGCGAAGCCGGCGATAGCCCAGCGTTCGGTAAGACGGTAGCGCTCTTCGACTTCAAATGACACAGCATTCTCAGCAAGATAGTTGCCGCGTACATAGCCTCGCAGGTCCACTGAAGAATAAGCACCCACCGGGGCATCGTTGGTGAATCGACCCTGAACTCGAAAGGCGGTGACATGACCAGCACCATACGAGAGGTACTGTTGTAATTTGGCGCTGTAGGTATCAAAGCTTTCATCGCCGCCCAATGATTTACGATATGCAAGATTGCTGATCTGAAAAAGACGCCCGGTTGATGGTGATTCCTGATTGTCGCGACTATCAAATTGCACCATGACGCCAACGCCGTTGGAATCGAAACCTGTTATGCCCAACAACTCGAGCACTTTATCAGTGAGCGCGTCCTGGCCAGAGATGGTGTAGTTCGTCGCCAGCGCCTGGGCACCCACAAACCAGCCGCCGCCGGTTCGGCGAAGATAACGTATCGCGCCAAAGCGCAGATCATCGGTTGTCTGTACGGGTAACCCACTACCCAGAAAATCGTCATAGTCATTGCGTATCTTGCCGCTCGCCACACCAGCGATCAGGCGATGCCGGTCGTCACCAAAATAAGTACGCGCAAAAAGACCGAGCGTGTACGAATCTGTGTTGCTGTAGTTGGCGGTTGCGCCGAATGTTGAGGTTGGTGACTGTTTGTCGAAACGATGCAGATAGCCTGCCAGAGCCCCTGCGGATGTGCCTACTTTGGGATCGCTCGATATGAGCGGTACAGCCAACCAGGGTGAATCTGCTTCCTGCGTCGGCTCATTTTCTTGCGCGTGTGAATCTGCAAACACCCCCAGGCAAAGTGCCGTGGAGAACAAGAGTGGGAAAACTATCTTCGGCAAAATGAGTCTCTTGGGTCGTCGTCAGGCGCGGACTATATAGTACAATTCCGCCGATTTTTACTGTTTAGGCAAAGTCGGTATGTCTCAACCTAGAGTCGGCCATCATGTTGGGGGTCGTTTTCAATGTTAGCCGATTGGTTTTTTTACGTTGGCGTTACGTTTGGAGCTTTGTTACCAATCGCAAATCCCTTCAGCACCGCGCCGGTATTTATCTCGTTGACCCAAAGTTTTTCCACCCAGCGGCGCGCGCTGCAGGCGCGCATGTCTGCTGTCTATATGGCTTGTATCCTGCTGGTCTCACTGTTCGCCGGCGCGCTGATTCTCAGTTTTTTTGGCATAACGCTACCGATATTGAGGATGGCGGGTGGTCTGGTCATTGCCAAGGTGGGCTTTGGCATGCTGGAGCCTGCAAAGGCGCCATCTCCATCGGAGGATAGAGATGAGACGGCTGATATTGCGTTTACCCCGATCGCCATGCCCATGCTCAGTGGACCGGGTTCCATTGCGTTGACCATTGCCATGGCGACCCAGGCATCCGGTTTTGGTTCTTACACGGCGGTGGCCACAGGTATAGTACTTGTGGCTCTGGTGAGCTGGGCCACACTGCATTTCTCAGGCGAAATTCTGGATTTCCTGGGTACCACGGGCATGAATGCCCTGACAAGGATAATGGGTTTGTTGCTGGTCTGTGTAGGGATTCAATTTGTAGCAACCGGCTTTCTTGAAGGTCTGACTGGTGAGCGGGTCACCGGCATGTTGCGTGAATGGTTGATCACGCTACAGCCTGCTGAGTGAAGCGTTCGGTTGTACGACAAACCAGCGGCCCTGTTCACTAAAAACAGATTTACCGGTAACATTTTTCCCTCAACGTCTGCCTCATTCGCTTGCAAAACAAAGAGCGGGTCTGGCGAAACCATTTCATAACACCTACGGAACGTTACCTATGACATCCTCGAGATTCCTCTTTACGTGCCTTATCTGCATTGCCCCAAGCCTGGCCTCAGCCCAGGAGCTGATCATTTACCCCAGTCAGAATCAGAGCCAGGCCCAACAGGAAAAAGATGAGTTCGAATGTTACAGCTGGGCGAAAGGCCAGAGTAAATTTGATCCGATGGCTCCGCCTACCGCAACTGAGCCGCCGCCCCAGCAACAGGCAAAGCGGGGTGGCTTGGTGCGGGGAGCCGCCCGCGGTGCAATTGTTGGCGGTATTGTAGACGGCAGTGACGGTGCAAAAACCGGTGCCAAAGCTGGTGGCGCAATAGGGGGTATCCGACGCTCGGACCAGAATCAGCAGGAAGCCCAGGCTCAACAACAATGGGAGCAGCAGCAGGCTGCTCAATATCAGCAGGGGCGTAATGCCTACAACCGCGCCTATTCTGCATGTCTTGAAGGCCGCGGCTATACAGTTCGCTAAGTTAGTGGCTATTAAGTTGATTCAGATGAAACAAAAGGAATACTCATGTTGAAATTTTTGCAGCGCCCGATCGGCACATTTGTCGCGTGTTTTGTTGCCACGCCGCTTATGGCCCTGGATATGTCCGAACCGGTGCTTTGCGCCACCACTCAAGTGTTTGAGTGTGTTGATGGAAGCGGTTGCAATACAGCACTCCCGGAAGCTGTAAACGCGCCCACTTTTTTTCGCGTGGATACCAAGAAGAAACAGTTACGTGTTTTCAAAGATGCGCCGCCAACAAAAATTGTTAGCATGGCCAACATTGAGAGCCGGATTGTACTTCAGGGCGCTGAGGACGGTAGCTCTGAACGTCCAGATGGTGGCGGTTGGACCTTATCCATTGAATCTCAGACCGGCCGTTTTGTAGCCACAATAGCGGTTGCGCAAGCCAGCATCACTCTGTTTGGTGCCTGTACGGAACCCTTTGACGACTGATCTTCGGGTTCATCCTTGTCGGGATTTATCGGTCCAAGGCGGTGATGGTGGCGCCTCCGATAGATCCTCCGGCGAGCACAACTTCCTGTACGCCACCGTCCACCTTGCCATCCTGAATCTTTGCAATCAGATAGGACCAGTCAACTGCCAGCCAGATCACAGTGTGCTTGTCGCTGTCATCACCCCGATCCCGTCTAACCCGCACAGTCCTGAGCGGCCCGATCAGGGTTTTGGTAATCTCCTGGGTTTCTACAAGGTAGTGGTATTCCTTGATGCGCCCATTTCTGGTGACTTGATAAGTCAGGTCTGTTTTCCCCCGCATGACATCATTGCGTAACTGCAACTGCATGCTGAGCGGGTCGAGTGCGCCAGGGGGTAGCTCCAATGACCATTGTGGCTTAGCCGCACGATCTGTGACACTTCCGGTTTGCCAATCGAACGCAAGGTTAATGCGCCTCTTCACACCCATCGCTGACAATTTGTATCTGTAGAACAGTGGGATGAGAGTGGTAGTGTCGGCAAGGGCATAGCGGCTCATCTCTGTTGCTTTGCCTAGAATTGAGCTAGTGTTGTAGTGGTATTCGAACTGGCCGTCTTCGATTGGTTGTAACGTAGAGGTAGCCGTCAGTTTGGTCCCCATCAATCTGGCTTGATAGCTGACTTCAAAGGGCGTCTGTGCGATTTGAGATTCACCACGATCCGAAATGGTGGGTTCTGCACTTACGCTGGCATTGGCCAGAATCGACAATAACGTCATACAAGTGATTTGAATCTGATGCCGACGTATAAGGGTCGTACGCATTTGTTGTGTTACCTCTTGTTGTCGTTGGAATTGTCGGTTGTAACAGGGGGTACAGTAGACATTCTGCGCGGCTTACGTCGATTGCCGAAGTGCATTTCAAATTCCACGCCTGCACCCAGATTCGCTTTCCGCGACTCATCTGGGAGGGCGCGGGGCCAGGAGACGCCTGCGGTCAATTCCAGGAAAAACCACTCTTTCGAAAAGATCCTGCGCCGGAAACGGAACTCGAAGCCGTAATCTTTGATCGACACTGGCGCGCCGGTTTCGCCTTTCACGTAGAGACGGTAGGAGACCGCGCGCCGGTTAGACAGGCTTTGATAGGTGGTTAGATTGGACACCCAGGAAAGCCCATCCAGACTTTCCGATACTTTTAAAAAGTTACCCCAGCGCGTCATGAGGCTAGATGAGAAAATGCGGGTAAGATCTCCGGACAGAGACGTTCCCCAACCGTCATCACCTTGCCAGAACACCCGCTCCTGCACGCGTACAGACCACCGCTCCGAGTAGATCCTGTTCCAACGATAGCTGACCCGGGCATAGGGATCGATTGGTGTGGAGAATTTGACGCCTACATCAAAATCAAATCCTTGCTTCTGCCGTCTACTGCGAGAGGGGGAAAACCCCAGGCCAAGCAAAGCGTCTTCTTCTTCAATGTCGCGGAACCCTTCAGCGGGACTTTCGAACTGGCTGTTGGCGGAGCCGTCTATCACATCATCTGCTTCGCCGAGGCCTGCGATCAGACGCACTCTCCTGCGGGTATTAGGCAGTGCAAATCGCGCTCTGAACTGGGTTTTTGGCTCAAATCCGTCACGCTCGTCCCAGTAACCACCGAGATTTATCTGGCCATAACTTTCGTTGCTGCCTTCGTAGTAAGTCGCGTCTCCAAAGAAGCCGTCGAACCACATTGAGGTACCGCAAACAACCCGATACACAGAGCTTTGGGTTTTGTCGAGCAGACCGTTGATCTGTTCTTCCGGGGTGCAGGCGCCATTTCCTGCCTCAGCGGATGGCTCAGTTTTGGCGGTGGGTGCTGCTTGCAAGGTTGTGTCAACGTCAGGCGAGTTCCCGGCGGCATAAGCAGGCAGGACGACGAGCAGAGAGAGCGCCAAAACTGTAGCGGCAAGGGATGAGCGCCTTGCATGCCCACTCTGATAGTTGAAAGCTCTGCCGTTACCGATTTGCTTGCTCTGCGCCAGTTGTCTATTGCCCTGAGAAGATGCGTTCCCACTCATCCCTGGTCAGCTCTGATTTCAGTTCGAACCGCAGTGCCAGCATCTTGTCCTGGCCTGCTTCCCAACGCCGCTCAAGGTCAGTGATCTCTGCCATCATGCGGTTGCCGTTCTGTTTGTGATCGCGGTAGTACTTGGTAAGCTTTTCGCCGGATGCTGCGTAAGCTTTTTCAAATTTTTTCACGTCGTCACGGGCACTGTCTATGACGGTGGTTGCGGCGTCAGCGCGCAAGGGATCATCTATGGCGGCGGCGACCCGGTTGCCAAGATCTTTGAGGGTGGCCGTGGTCAACACACCACTGAAAGCGGCGCCATTGCCACTGAGTACGTAGGATATGAGTAAAGCGACCAACATATCAGGCATCTCCTGCTGGTGTTGTCATCGCGCGGGGATTGAGTTCGTTCAGCTGAAACTTCGCCAGACGCTTCCATTCTTTTGCCGTTGTGCTGGCTTTCATCTGCTGGATGATGTGCACCAGTTGCTGCTGATAGGTTTGTCGATCGGTGCGGTAGGTGGCAAAAAGTTGTTCAAAGTCTGTCCGTTCAGCGTCATAGTCGGCGTTCAGAGCGCGCATATTGTTGATATATGTCTCAATAGTCGCCGCGTGATTCGCTACCGTCTGATTGCGCATGTCAAGCAGCATAAGCAGGGTGTTGGTTCGTTCCGGGTCTTCTACAACCGCAGTGAGCAATTGACGCTCATCCTGTTTTGCGGCCTCAAACTGGGCTTCCACTGCGCCGGGATCGGTTGCTGTGCTGCGGAACCCGCAACCCGCAACGACAAGAATTGTGGTTGCGAGCAAGAAAGGTAATTTGTATTTCCTGGATTTCATCAAAGTGTTCCGGGTTGAGTGGTTTGTGTGAATCTCGACAGTTTAGTTGGTCGGATGAATCATATTACTTGGCCGTTTGCTGTGCTTCTGCGATGGCTTGACGTAGCCGTTCGACGTAGTTTTCAGGGAAGTGCCAGATGCCAGTTCCGTCATTCTGCTGCAAACCTCGCGCAGTGGGAGAAAGCCCCCAGCGCAGTCGGCTCAGAATGTCGCTACTTGTCCAGGGGCTGCTGCGGAAATAGCCGTGCCCGTTTGCATCCTGAGCGCCTTCAGTATCGGTTACGTTAACGACGGTGAGCTTATCCGTGGTGCGCAGATATTGGGCGATGGGTGAAGATGCATCCAGATCGGAAAAAGCTTGACCCAGGCGGTCTCGCTTGCCCAGGGACCATTTAGACATGGCCAGTGCTTTATCTGTGGCGGAAGTGTAGATCAGCATTTCATCCATCAGGTTCAGAATGCCATCGTTCAAGTAGCCCCCGAAGCGCTGCCGATCAATATCGCTGCCGGTGAGGACAATGGTGCCAAGCCGGTAACGTTGCGCAGCCTCTGGATCATCTCCGGCGATCAGCGCAAGATCCTGCAGCGCCCTGACAACCATACGGGTGCCCGCACTGTAGCCGATGATATGGATGCGCCGGGCCTGTGTGTCGTTAGCCAGATACTCCAGGAAATGGCGAAAGTTCAGTGAGGCGACGTCGGCGCTTTCGGTATCCGCAAAGTAAGCTGTGCGCTTCGGCGTAGATGGCCATGAGTAGGCTATACCAACACCTTCGTAGCCCAGGAAATGCCAGAGCTCCGCCATAACCAGCAGTGGATTCTCAAAAACGACCTTGTAGCCGTGCACGTAGATAACAACATCCTGCAGTCTGGAGCGCTCAAGCTTTGCATTAACCGCTTCGGTAAATTCTGTCTCTGCGCTGTCTGCATACCCGGCAGCAGTTGCCGGATCGAGAAAGTTATGAATGGTGCTGTCGAGAATGCCATATTCCGTAACGGACGCGACTTTCAGCGGATATTTGCCAGGGCGATTTTTCAGCAGGGAGATGCGGCGCGCTTCTTCCCAGTCAATGTTGCCGTCACCCAGAGAAATCTGCGCGGCGCCCAGTCTGAGGACACCACCTCGCTCGTTGCCATAACTCATCCGGTCCCGGGATGACTCAGGTGAACGATCAGTGGCGAACAGCAGCTGATGGAATGGTGGATCCTCACCTGCATCGAAGTCATCCTGGAATGGGCTTGTTGTTGGATCTGCAAGTGCATCCGGCGCAGGCATGAGGTCGATGACACTGCCACCCTCGACCGCACAGCCGCCAGACAACAGTACGGCCAGCAACGGAATCAGCCAAATTGTTATTCGGCAGATTGTCTTTTTCCGTTGGTTCACTCGAGGAGCGTTGCCCGCGTTACTTGGCCTTCGAAGCTTTGTAAGAGAACTTCTGCCCACTCACAGTGGCTTCGTACATCAAGCCGCCTTTTGCAACGGTGAATACCGCCATACCTCTGTAGTACCCGCCAGTGGTGACGGCATCGTTCTTGCCTCCGCTCGCAGCGGTACCGCCGCCACCGGTGGTGTTTGCCCCGGCAGATACTCCGGCTGTAATGGCGACTGCACTTGCGTTTGCACCAAACGCAAAGTTACCGGAAATAAACTCGTTCAAGGCGCGCTCATCTTCAAAAAAGATGATCTGGCTGAAGGCCTGGCCGCCAAACTGCAAACCGACGGAAAGCTGTGTCATCGTTGTTTCGCCGATAGACACACCGTTGACAAACACCTGGCCTTTACCGCGCGCGCCGCCGATACCCATACCGGCCTTGCCGATGGTTGGAAATACTGCGTAGCCATGAGCTGAACTGAAAAACTCGCCACTGGCGCCGGCTTTCTTGAAGACTTCAATGGTCTCCGTGTACTCGTCTGCCCATGCCACAGGTGCGAGTAACACACTGGCGATTAACATGAGCCTTAAGCTTTTTAGATTCGACATAATTAAATTCCTTGTTTAGCCTTTTCTGGATTTGTAGTGATCCGAAATTGACCAAGACTATACTTTAATGGACGCCTGAAATCCGCACTCTACGTTGGTTCTGCCTGACAATGGGTCAGGTCGGACAAGGTGTTTGAGATGGGACCTGAAGGTTGAGAATGAGTGAATTTGTTGGTAAGTTCCCGCCGCCTTCGCCATGGTGGATAGCCCGCTTTGTATTTTCGTCGATTTTTATTGTCCTTCGTCACTCTGGCCTCACTGTCGGGCTGCGCTGCAGTAAATGTGTCACTGCCGGCCGTGGTGGAAAGTCCAACTGGCTTGTCGCTGCCGGGTAAGGTGGTCTGGCACGACCTGATTACGCACAAACCGCAAGAGAGCCAGCAATTTTATGAGAGTCTGTTCGGCTGGCAGTTCGAGGATGTGGGCGTAAATCTTGGACCGTTTCGCTCGGTGAATTACACGCTTATCCGTCACGAAGGTCTGTTGATCGGGGGCATGATAGATGCCAACTTGTTAGGGCGCAGGAATGCAGCGGAGTTGTCCCAATGGGTTGTTGTCATGGCTGTGAACGATGTTGACGCCGCAGCTGCCACGGTTGCACAACAGGGTGGCATTGTTCGCCATGCGCCTGTGGATCTTGACGAACGGGGTCGCCTGGCCATTATCGAAGACGCCCAGGGAGCTGAGCTGGCGCTGCTGCAGACACGCGATGGCGATCCGTCCGACGCACCCCTGGGTATCGGTCATTTTCTCTGGGATGAAGTATGGAGTAACGATCCCGATGCCAGCTCAGAGTTTTATAGACAGTTAACGGGTCTGCAAACCGCTGAGTATGGGAATATGCCCGACGGTGCTTACCAGTTACTCACCAGTGGTGACACGCCGCGTATGGGTCTCCTGCAGACACCGCTGCCGGAACTGCCCGCTACCTGGGTGAGTTATGTGCGTGTGGCGGATGCTGATGCAATTACTGCACAGGTCGAAGCGCTCGGAGGACAAGTGATCATCGGCGTTACACAGCGTGACGTTGGCGGTGAGGCGGCGTTGATTGTCGACCCATCCGGCGCTGGGATTGCCATTCAAACCTGGACGCCACCGACGCAATCAGCGCGTTTGTAAAGCCAGCATTGTGCGCAAAGCTACCAGACGATTAACAAGAGATCTTCTATGACAAAATTGAAAACTGTAGTGCAGCTGGTGCTTGTGCTGATGCTCACCACCCAACTCACGGGGTGTGATAACGCAAAAGTGTACGGCAGCATTGGCGTGTCGAGCTACCATGGTTCATCCAGCTATTACGGCGGCTCTCGTGTCGGCGGCAGCATCGTTATTGGCGGACGGATCCGATGAAGTTTGCAATGATTTTGCGAAACGGCCTGCTGGCCCTGTTGGTGATATTAAGTAGCGTTGTCGCGTCAGGCGCGGAGCGCAGGGCGGGTAATATTGAATATACGTTCGGATTGATCTACACCGACGATGAGTCCGTCGACACACGGCGTGGCAGCAGCGTCGACATCGACGATCGTGTCGGTCTGCAGGCAGGCTTCGACTACTATCTTTCAAGTCGCCTGGCGTTGGGTTTTGATATGTCCTGGGTTGAACCGAACTATCGCGCGGTGTTAGTGCCGGACGATGGCTCTGACGCAGTGATCATTAATCGACGCTCCAGAGTGTTCACCGGGCAATTTAATGCAACCTTCAATCTCCTCGAAGGCCCGATAACACCCTTTGTTGAGGGTGGGCTCGGCTGGACCTATTTTGACTCCAGAGTGCGCAGCAGTGCACCTGTGGTAGGGTGCTGGTGGGATCCGTTCTGGGGTTATATATGTGCGGACAGGTATCGCACCTATGACGAAACCAACCTGTCTTATGGGGTGGGTGTAGGTATGCGCATGGATTTGTCGCGCAACCTTTTTGCTAAGGCGACCTATCGTTGGCTGGAACTCGATCTGGATGGCGGTCGAAAGAAGCCGTTGTTGGAGAGCGTTGGCGTTGAAATCGGCTGGCGGTTTTGAAGAAGTATTGGATGCAGCCTCTAAGAAAGAAAAACAAATAGTTTGATGGAGATATACAGATCATGAATGTACAGAATTTTGCGATACCGTTGCTCATAGCGGCAGCGTTGACGGTCGGTGCTTGTACCACCACTACCGGGCCACTGGAAGTTGATACGAGTGACAGCACTGCTCAGTCGTTTGACGGTCTATATCCGGCCACCGGCGCGCGACGCGGTACTCAGGTCTGGATGTTGGAAGATATAGATCTGTCGTCCTACGACAAGATCATGTTGCAAGGCGCGGGTATCAGCTATCGTCCGGTTAAAAAAGTCTCCTCCGCTGCTGCTGTGAATTCCAATCGGCAGGAGTTTCCAATCTCGGAAAAAGCCAGAGCAGACATCCGTGACACTTTCACGGCCTCCTTTGTGAAAGAGTTAACCAAACAGGATCGATTCGAAATTGTTGAAGAGCCAGGCCCGGGTGTGTTGTTGGTTCGAGGTGCTTTGCTTGACGTCATTTCACGTGTTCCCCCAGAGCCGATTGGCCGCAGCAATATTTATCTGTCGACGGTTGGTGAGGCCACGCTGGTTATTGAATTTCGCGACGCCGAGTCTGAAGCGCCATTGCTTCGTGCGATGGAAAGACGGGCAACATCGCGTAACACCGATATGCCCATCTGGTCTAACCCGGTCACTAACATGAACGAAGTCCGGATCCTTGCTGATGCCTGGGCGCGTCGTGTTTCAGACAGCCTGATTTATCTGGCGGACACCTATGGCATCGGAGACGGCGCCTAGTTAACCCTCTGGATCTGCGGTGCAGGCCAGCTCGCGCTGGCCCCACGCACTCCTGAATTTAAGCTCGTTGAAAGCCATGCAACCTGATGAGTGAGATGTCTGACCTGACACAATGGCTCTGCGCCATGCCAAAAGCTGAATTACATCTGCACATTGATGGCAGTCTGCAAGCATCAAGGTTGCTACAGCTGGCTGCAAAGAATTCCGTAAGCCTGCCGTATGCAACCGTTGAAGAAGTCGAAGCAGCTTATGACTTTGCTGACCTGCAGAGCTTTCTGGATCTTTATTACCTGGGTGCGTCCGTGCTGCAGGACGAGGATGATTTTTATCATCTCATGATGGACTACCTGCTTAAGTGTAAAGAGCAGAATGTGGTGCATACCGAAGTCATGGTTGAGCCCCAGACGTATATACCCAACGGCGTTTCATTTGCCACCATGATGGATGGATTTGGCAGAGCCATCTCTGAAGCGCAAGCAGGCTGGGGGCAGTCTGTCCTGTTGATTCTGAGCTTTCTTCGACACCTGTCTGAACAGGAATGCCTGGCAACGCTTGCAGAAGCGGAGCCTTTTAAGGATCAGTTTGTGGCCATTGGTCTGGCAAGTTCAGAGCTCGGTCATCCTCCGGATAAGTTTGTGCGCTTATACGCTGCTGCAAAAGAGCAGGGATATAAAGCAGTTGCGCATGCTGGTGAGGAGGGACCGCCCCAGTTTATCTGGGATGCGTTAGAGCTGTTGCAGGTTGATCGCATTGATCATGGCGTACGCTCGGTGGAAGACACAGCATTGGTAGCTAAGCTGGTGGTTGAACAGGTGCCGTTAACGGTATGCCCTTTATCCAATGTGCGCCTGCGGGTATTCGAACGCATGGCAGATCACAATATCCTCAAACTCCTGGACGATGGCGTGTGCGTGACTGCTAACTCTGATGACCCAGCCTATTTTGGCGGGTATATGAATGAAAACTTCATCGCCATGGCAGCGGAGCTTGGCCTGAGCCGAGAACAGGCATTGCAGTTAGCCAGAAACAGTTTTACGGCATCCTTTCTGTCTGAAGACCTTATTGCGACATACATTGAGCAAGTGAACCAATATGGGTCAGACGCCTAGGCCTAACCGTTGTACCTAATCGAACTGTTTCTCGCCGCTGGCAAACACTAGATAGAAGATCATTCCGAACAATGTGACACCGGCGGTCACCTGGAAAACCAGATCCCAGGATCCGGTAAATTCAAGGATCAACCCGGAAACGTAGACGCCAACAATACCTGGGATGGTGCCCGCAGTATTGGTGATACCCATCAGCGATCCCGCGTAGCGCGGACCGATATCCATATGGTTAACACTGTGCCCACCCACACCGGCAGCTGAAAACACTTTACCCAAACACAATATGCCGATCGCCGCCCAGACATTATCGACGGTGGTGATCAGAAACAAACAGATGGCAAGTCCGCCAAATGCTACCGTCTGCATCAGTTTGCGCACATAGGTCACGTCCATGCCCTGACGAATCATTCTGTCGGCGAGAGAGCCGGCAATATTCAGGCAGAAGAAGGAGGTGACATGCGGCAGCATCGAAACCAGGCCTACCGCTGCAAACGAAACACCTAAGCCTTCATTTACATACTTTGGCAGCCAGGACAGGATCACATACAGCGTCCAGTTATTGCAGAAATGCGCGACGATAATCGCCCACAAGGGTTTGTTCCTGAGGAACTGTCGGATACTGGGTGATTCCGTGGCGGTGCCGGATGCCGGTGCATTGTTCTCCAGGTGCGCAAGCTCGGCCGAGCTGATGCCGGGATGATTCTGTGGCAGCGTAGTGACCAGGCGTTGCCATGCGATATACCAGAGTATGCCAACTGCACCGAACAGGTAGAACGCCCACTCCCAGCCTAAATGCAGGACGATCAATGGCGTCACAATCAGAGCAAACACGGTGCCAATGGGTATGCCGCTGGCATTCAGCGCAATGGCTTTTGATTTTTCGTCCGTTGGAAACCAGCGGGTTATCAGGCTGTAGACAGATGGGAATGTGACCGCCTCACCGAGCCCCATGCCAATGCGGGCAAGAAACAATGCGCTTAAACCCATGAAGGCTGCAGCAGGGGTGATGATGGTGAACACTGACCAGATAAGCACGCCTAAACCGAGAATCAGCTTGCCGCCAAATCTGT